ACTCAAGCACCTACCAAACGAGCCACTCCAAGCACCTACCGCCCAAGGCACTCTAAGCACCTACCGACTAAGCCACTCCAAGCACCTACACCGCAGGCCACTCCAAGCACCTACACACCAACCCACTCAAAGCACCTACACACCGACCCACTCCAAGCACCTACGGACCGAGCCACTCGAAGCTCGTACTGATCGAGCCAATCTAGCCACCTACCAACCAAGCCACTACAAAAGCCTCTACCCACCGAACCACTACACCACCTACCGACCGAGCCACTCCAAACACCTTCATACCGAGTAACTCAAAGCACCTACCGACTGAGCCACTCCAAACACCTAACGACTGAGCCACTCCAAGCACCTTTTATTTTTTATTTTTTATTTTTTTACCGAAAGGGCCCAGTGCCCAAGGCTGTCGTCCGAGCAACTCCAAACACCTACCCACCGAGCCACTTCAAGCACCTCCCCACCGGACCACTCAAGCACCTACTTACCCAGCCACTCCAAGAACCTACCGACCGAGCCACGCCAAGCACCTACCGACCAAGCCACTCCAAGCACCTATCGATCGAGCCACTCCAAGCACCTACCAACCGAGCCACTCCAAGCACATTAAGCCACTCCAAGCACCTATCGATCTAGCCACTCCAAGCACCTACCGAGTGAGCCACTCCTAGAACCTACCCGCGAAGCCACTCCAAGCAGGTACCCACCAAGCCAATCAAAGCACCTACCCACCGAACCACTCCAAGCACCTACCCACCGGGCCACATCAAGCAACTACCCACCGAGCCACGCCAAGCACCTTCCCACCGAGCTTTTGCAAGCACCTGCCCACTGAGCCACTCCAAGCACCTACCCACCCCTCTACTCCAAGCACCTACTGACCCAGCGACTTCAAGCACCTACCTACCGAGTGACTCAAGCACCTACCGACCGAGAAAATCCAAGCACCTACCCACCGAGCCACTCCAAGCACCTACACCTTGAGCCACTCCAAACACCTACACCCCGAGCCACTCCAAGCACCTACACACCAAGCCACTTCAAGCACTTACATACCGAGCCACTCCAAGCACCTATCGAGCGAGCCACTCCAAGAACCTACCGATAGAGCCACCCGAGGTACCTACCGATCAAGCCACTCCAAGCACCTACTGACCCAACGACTCCAAGCACCTACCGACGAAGTGACTCAAGCACCTACCGAACGACCCACTCCAAGCACCTACTGACCCAGCCACTCCAAGCACCTACCGACCCAGCCACTCCAAGCACGTATCGACCCACCCACTCCAACCACCTACACCCCGAGCCATTCCCAGCAGCTACACCCTGAACCACTCCTAGCACCTACACCCCGAGTCAGTCCTAGCACCTACACACGGAGCCACTCCAAGCACCTCCCCACCGAACCACTCCAAGCACCTACCGACCGAGCCACACCAAACACCTACCAATCGAACCACTCCAGGCACCTACCGACCAAGCCACTCCAAGAACATCTAACCATCGAGCCACTCCAAGCACCTACCGACCGAACCTCTACAAAAACCCTCCCACCGAGCTATCCCAAGCACCTACTGACTGAACCACTCCAAGCACCTACCCA